TTCTGCCTGGTCTCACCCTGGTACCCACCTGCCACCCTCAAAAGCTCCTGGCGTCCACACATTAGCCCGCAATGCATGCACAGACCCCACCATAAGCCTACCGGCGCACCCCCTTCACTTTGCACCTATAGCGTAAAAAATTGTCCAGACAGCAAATTTGTTAAGCAGATCCCATCCCGACACACCTAAAGGAAAGCATCTCACCTCCTCTCTTTCCTTCTGTCCTCTCTCCGGCCGTCTCCTGGGGTTAGCTAGAGCAAGGTGATGGAGATGTGTGGCTCTGCGCCCCTACAGGTCAGCCCTAGTGGGGTTCGTCTCCCACCCACCCCCCGAACACAAAGCAAAGCAGCGAGTGTCTGGCTGTGAGAATACAGTGTCTGTGTCGCTCCCTCTCTCACTCCCCCTCCCACTTTCTCCGCTTTCCCCCCTCTTCTTGCCTCCCTCCCTCTTTCACTCCATCTCTCTGTCTCTTTTAGCAACTGTAAGGATGCGCCGAGGCTCTCAACACGCCATCCTCCCCACCGCTAACCCTAACCAGGCAACCACACAGTTATTCCATGACATGTAATTACTGAACCTCATCGCGCCATTCCGGGACTGACTGTAATCACTGAACCTAGTAGTGACCCAAAGTAATTGAGTTACGCTGTAGGTGACCCTAATCACGCCCTGCCATTTTCTAGACGTGACCCATTGGCCCTGAGCTTGCTCTTGTGCCAATTTTATGGTCACAGGGCGCTTGGCGCCCTAAAATGTGTATCACTGCACCGGACAGATGATGCGGTGGAAGAATTTTGTTTTAGGGTTGTGTTGTAGGTACGGTGATATGGATGAATTTTGGCAGGTTTGGATGAGGTGGTTGCACCTCATAGTAAAAATCTGCATACTTATAAGTCTTGTTGGCTAAATGTAAGCCTATAGTGGTTTGATGAAGGACACCCTGGCAGGTGCCAATAGGACTGGTGTGACACATGGTGCCTAGGCTGGGGCGTGGTGCTCTGCCACAATGACTATAGACTATTAAAAGGGCAAAATTTACTGTATCCTATTGCTGGCCTTAGGTAGCGTGGCACTTCATGAGTCCTAATAAACCATCAGGCTTAGCAAAGTTTGGCAATAGGCACAAAATATAATTCTGAACTTATAAGGCACCAACATATTACCCAACATGGTTCACAATCTTGGCTGAAACACTTTAAAAATCAGGGTTTCATATTAGTTCCTTTGAAATGAGAATGATAGAAAAAGTAATTCCTCAAAAGTGGAGAATAATAAGATTGGAGATGGTTGTGGTGGCTAGTAAAAAGAGCTTAATGAGTCTGGAGTGACAAGTGTAGTAAAAGAGAATACAATGTAGCCTGAGAAGTGGAAGAGTAGAGGGTGAGGAGTCTCAAGAGAGTTCTAAAGAGAGGAGGAGGACTGAAGAGTGAGTAATTGAATAGCAAGGAGTGATGAATCTGGAATGAATAGTAGAAAAGAAGATGCTCAGGAAGCTGGTGCTGATGGTGGCACATAAAATGAGGGAGACGATTCTGCAGTCTGTGTGTGTAGTGGAAAAGTAAAGTGTGAGGAACATAGAATAGAGGGGGAGCAGCCTGGAATAGGTAGTAGAATATGAGAGGGTGAAGATCCTGGGATGAGTAGTGGAATAATAAAAAAAATGGATCCTGGAATGAAAAGTGGAATAGCAGAAGACAAAGAATCTGCCGTGAGTGATGGAATAGTAGAGAGTGAGGAGCTTGGAATAGAAAGTTGACTTTTAGCAAGTGAGGAGAATGGAATGAGTAGTAGAACAGTACAGGGTGAGGATACTGACATTAGTAAATGGATAGAGTGAGGATCCTGGAATGAGTAGTAGAAGGTGACGATCCTGGAATGAGTAATGGGATAGTAAAGACTTAGGATCCTGGAATGAGTAATGGGATAGTAAAGACTTAGGATCCTGGAATGATTAATGGGATAGTAAAGACTTAGGATCCTGGAATGAGTAGTAGAATAGTAGAGGTGAAGGATCCTGGAATAAGTGATGGCACAGTAGAAGGTGAGGAGTCTGAAATTAAAAGTCAAATATTAGAGGGTGAGGAGACTGGAATGGGTAATAGAAGAGTAGAGCTTGAGGATAATGGAATGAGTAGTAAAAAAGTAAAAGGTGAGGATCGTGGAAAGAGTCGTTGAATAGTGGAGGGAAGTAACCTGAAATGTGCAGTGGATCCTGGAATAAGTGATGGCATAGTAGAGGGCGAGGAGCCTAAAAACTAAAAGTCAAATATTAGAGGGTGAGGATCGTGGAAAGAGTAGTTGAATAGTAGAGGGCAAGGAGTCTGAAATGTATAGTAGAATAGTAGAGGATAAGGATCCTGGAGTAGTGGAAAAGTAGAAGGTGATGGGTTTGGAAAGAGTAGTGAAATGGTAGAGGGTGAGAACAGTGGAATGAGAAGGAGAATAGTGTGGGGGGGGGGAGGGGGGTAGGATATGGAATGCATGGTAGAATAGTAGGAGGTGATAAGTCAGGTATAAATAGTGAAATAATAGAGGGTGACAATTCTATCTTTAGTAGTGGAATAGCAGAGGGTGGAAATCCTAGCGTTAGTAGAATAGAATAGAATAGAGTGGAACAGTAGAGGGATTTAGTGGTGGAATTGAAGAATCATAAGCCTGGAATAAGTAGCAGAAAATCCTTGAGACGTTGTAGCAGCAGACAGAGTGAATGAAAGATGAGTCTGGAATAAAAACTAAATATTAATTAATTAATAATGGGTTCGGAGTTTGTTGTGTAGTATTAAAAAGGTGGTTCAGGAGCAAACAGCAGATTAGTAAAGACTGATGACTTGTAGGTAGTGGGGTATTAGAGAGTGAGAACTCTGGAGCGAGCAGTAGGGAAAGAGTAAAAGATGAAGAGTTGGGAATTAATAGTGGAACAGAATAAGATAATAACTCAGGAGTTTGGGGTGGAATAGTGGGGAATGAGGAGTGAGCGGTGGCATAGTAAAGCCTAAGGATTTTGGAGGGAGCAGAGGCAGTTGCGTCTGGAATGAGTGACGGGACTGGAATCAGAAATGGAAAAAGAGAAGGTGGTGAGTCTGGAGTGAGTGGTGGAATAATAAATGTCAGGAGTCTGCACTATGTAGTTGATTGATAAGTATGATGAGTAGTACCAGTAGAATAGTAGATGGTGCAGACTTTGTAATGAGGAAAATAATTGAAGTGAGTAGTAGTGGAGTAGTACAGAGTAAGGGGTCAGGTATGGAATAAGTTCAGGAACTGAGATGTCTGGAGTGATGGTGGGCCGGTGGTAGGGGGCGAGTAGTAGATGGCGCCTTCATTAACCCCACAAACCAATAATCGCAGTGCAGTGATAACAGCTAGAAGCTTATTATCTGCCATATGATGAGCAACAGATTTCTCTTTTCTCCATGTTCTATATATAGCGTACAGTGTATGCAGGAAAAATCACACTAGCTCTTACTTCTCAGATGTACTGTCATTCTTCACCATTCCCCTAATCACAAGAGTAATGCACGCTACCACTTCTCTTCTCAGTATCTGTTCTTATTCTGTATATATGGATTCTGCACAGTAGCACTTCTCTTATCCTGTAAATATAATACACTCTCACACTCATTTCCAGTGTATAGAAGACCCTCCCTGGTAAGAGCTGCTGCGACTTGTAGCGTTACAGCGCCTCTTTGTCCGCCAACGGCCCAATGATCATGGTGTTGCATCACCGGCCTGTACCGTGCAATGTTGGGTGCATTCCCCCGCCAAGCCATCGCTGCACTTGCTGCCATTCGGATAACTTCTGTGACCTGTCTGTGGAGTCTGCAGCTGCACTTCCCCTTCACACCCGCCTGTCACTGCACCTCCATCTCCCTCGCTCACTAGCCATCCATAATGTAGGCATGTCTGGGCCCGATGAATTATTCATGAACACGGGATGTCCCATGGGAGAGATTCTGGTGTTAACCCACGCAATACGAAACACATAAAGTGTTGCTGAAGGAAAAAAAGGAGAGAATGGGCTTTCCTCAGCAGGAAACACCCTGAATACGGAGAGAGATCTCTGCATTTGGGCTGCGGAGAATTTTACAAGGTGCTCGGGGCTGGCTGTGCAGCGTCGGAATTCTGACACAGATTAAACAGCAGGAGGCTCAGAACATGAGAAAGAAAATCTAGATATGATTCTGGAAGGGATATGGAGGTGGAGGAGACAGAAATAAAACAATGGGAGGGATACAGAGGTGCTGAGAAGAGCAGCAAAATGTCAGGTTTTATGGAAACAGATAATATGGAGGCAGTGGAGAAATAAGGAGCTTGTTAGGGATCCGGTGAGGGAATCTGAGGGAGCGGGAAGGGCAGTACATTTATTGGGGTACATGAGAAGGGATACTGAGGTTCCAGGGAATGCAGTAGAGTAGGGACAGGTAGAGGAAAGGAAAATGGAACACTGTCAGGGTGTATAGGAAGGGATATTAGAATATTGGGGTGTCATGGACGAACTAGGAAGCTGGCAAGGCGAATAAAAGACTGTCATGGTATACAAGAAGGGATATTAGAATGTTGGGGTGTACAAGAAGGCATAGGAAGATGTTGATATAATTAGGAGACTGTTGGGGTATACAGCAAGAGATAGTAAAATGTTGGGGTGTAGAGAAAGTGATATTGAAATGTTGGGGTGTAAAGGAAGACACAGAAAGATGTTGAGGTGAATGAAGGATTCTCACGGTGCACAGGAAGAGATATTTTAATGTTGGGGTGTAGAGGAATACGCAGGGATCTTGTGAGGAAAATAGAGGATTGTCAGGCTGTACAGGAAGGGATTGCGGAATGTTGGGGTGTAGAGGAAGAGATATTGAAATCTAGGGGTGTACAGCAAGATATAGTGAAATGTTGGGGTGTAGAGAAAGTGATATTGAAATGTTGGGATGTAAAGGAAGACACAGAAAGATGGTGAGGTGAATGAAGGATTTTCACGATGCACAGGAAGAGATATTTTAATGTTGGGGTGTAGAAGAATACACAGGGATCTTGTGAGGTAAATGAAGGATTGCCAGGCTGTACGGGAAGAGATGGTGGAATGTTGGGGTGTAAAGGAAGAGATATTGTAATGTTGGGGTGTAGAGGAAGAGATATTGTAATGATGGGGTGTAGAGGAATACGCAGGGATCTTGTGAGGTAAATGAAGGATTGCCAGGCTGTACAGGAAGAGATGGTGGAATGTTGGGGTATAGAGGAAGAGATATTGAAATCTAGGGGTGTATAGGAAGAGGTAGGAAGACAATGATGTGAATGAAAGGCTATCAGCTTGTACAGGAAAAGTTATTATAATATTAGGGTGTACAGGAAGAGGTAGAAAGATGGCAAGGAAAATAGGAGATTTTCATA